GAGGATGTTCCTCCTCCTTAGTAGGGTGTGGGTCGGCAGTTTTTGGACTCACTTGGGCCTGCCTTGTGTCAATCTGCGTGTCGACAGATTGAGTTCTGACTGATGTATCCCGACCGCGCTTGCCGAGATACTTTTTTGCGGCATTTACTATTGAAATGGCCTCGGTTAGCAGGCTATTTGCATCCAAACAGCACTGTTGACATAGCCATACACACCCATTTTTACTAAACCGCTTGAAAGCTGCAGGTGTTAGATTCGTGCAAACATCGTGGTACCAACCTTTGCACTCATCGCACTGCATGCCGCTATCAACAGGATATCGACATCCTGGGCGGTGGCAAATGCTTTTGTTGCATCTTCCAGTCATTTTAGGATGCGAAAGTGAGTGTTGACTATAAGTAGAAAAAAAACTATAAACAGTTAGGACCAAAGTACTAACATACACAATGGAAAAAAAGGTACTCTGGAGTACCGACGATAAAACTATTTAGGATACCAAAGATGATACTCTAATAGAATACTTTAACTGAAAGAAATTCAATCAAAGTATAAAAACAGTAGTCTTGATACGTTAATAACGATCAAAACAATAGAATTTACTCAACGAGGAAAAATACCACTGTCCTTTTTAAAGAATCCAAGGCACTGATAAGTAGCTAATGCACACTCATTCATCTCCACACTACTACTTCATAGCGTTAACAAGAACTTGCTTTTTGATTACTTTAATATATTAGTTTTCAATATTCCATCCACAGCGCAAACACCCTGCCAACACCTCATTGAACTTTACATGACTCATGTATCTTAAACTATCGTATGACATTATCTCATTTCCACCCTTTTAGCGTCTTGTAACCTCCGCTTCACTGTTCGGGTAATTAATAAATTTGACTTCTTGGATTATTCTTACCGTCACCTCCCCGCTCCCTTACTTCCAGATTCCGCAGCTTTCCCGTTGCAGTCAACCAATATTCCCACTGGAAATATAACAGCCGCTAATTATGGAAAACATACTGCTCTGGAATGTGATGCCATTCAAATGTGACAAAATATATTGATGGAGAACCTTGACGTATGTAACTAACAACATTGTATTTTGAAGAGTTCGTGGGATTTTCATAGCACAAAACCACTAACTAATAATAGCTAGACCAAAACTGAGAACGCTTGGCTAACCTAACCTAACATTGGAGAAATCGACAGAGGGAACCCAAAGCTTCAACATACATGCTTAATAACGTGTACGAATATAACTCTCATTACTCCTCGTGGAGGAGCATAGGCCGTCCACCAGGATTCCCCATCGGACTCTGTTCTCGGCAATCCTTCGCAGTTGTTTTCCATTGCTATTCATTCCCTTCATTTATGCTCCCAGTTCTGGACTCAATGTGTTCATTGATCTTCCTCTTTTCCTTTTCTCTTAAGGATTCGGGGTTAGGGCTTGCCTCGTGATTCAGTTTGGTGATTTCCGTAATGTATGTCCTATCCACTTCCAGCGTCTTTTCCTAATTTCCTCTTCAACTAGGAGCTGGTTTGTTCTCTCCCACAGTAGGTTGTTCCCAATGGTATCCGGCCAATAGATATTGAGAATCCTGCGTAGATAATTGTTTACGAATACTAGCTTCAGCTCCGTACAGTAGAACTGTTTTACGTTTGTATTGAAGATTCCGACTTTAACTGAAAGTTGTTTCGAGTTCCATGTGTTCTTCGATTGTAGGGATGCTGTCCTTGCTTTGCCAATTCTTGCATTTACATGTACATCAGATCCTGCTTGTTTATCGGTGATGCTGCCCAGATACGTGAAAGTTTCTACCTCTTCCAGAGCTTCTCTATCACTTGTGGTTAGGTTGGTTCCCTCTGTGTTGTATTTGAGGACCCTGCATTTTCTCTTGTGGATTTCGAGGCTTATTGTTGCATAGGCTGCTGCTACACTGGTTGTCTTTATCTGTATTTGTTGCTGTGTATGGTGTGGAAGAGCTGGGTCATCCGTGAAGTCCAAATCGTCTAGTTGTATCTAATCGGTCCACTGTACTCTATACTTCTCCTCAGATGTGGAGGTCTTCATAATCTAGTCGACCATTAGAAGAAAGAGAAAGGGAGAGAGTGAGCAGCCTTGTCTGACTCTGGTCCTCACTTGATGTGCGTTTGTCAACTGCCCTCCATGCATGACTTTACAGTGTAACCCGTCGTGTGATGTTGACGGTCTTCTCAGGTACGCCATAGTGTCGAATAAGGTTGCATAAGGTCCTCCTCCTATTCTTACTGTCAAACGGTTTCTCATAGTCAAGGAAGTTGGTGTATAGTGACGGTTCCCATTCACTTGATTGTTCAACAATGATCTGTGGTGTTACGGAATCCAGCCAACTGATCTCGAAATTGGGCGTCTACCAAATTTTTCATCCGGTTCAACAACACTGTTGAAAACTTTTCCTGGCACTGATAGTAGTGTGATGCCTCTGTAGTTCTCACACTTGCTCAGATTTCCTTTCTTTGGTATATTGACGAGGCATCCTTCTTTTCATCCTACCGGCAGTTGCTCTTACTCCCGAATCTTTCTGAATAGAATGTGGAGCATGTTAAGAGTCAGTGCTTCGGCTGGTATACTGTCTGTGTTATGAATTTAAAAAAAAATAAAGAGAATGCCGTATGCTAATTCGTTATGACTTTATGTCCGGCTTTTTATCACGTAATTTATACACCAATCGGAATACGACCTGTCTAATCTTAACACTGTGCCAAATCAATGACGTTCGACCAGTATGAGCAGTCTAGCGTCCTTATTGGTCCCTTGTCCACCTAGCCCTTCCAAGTGAGTCCAAAAACACCAATTGTAGCTTCTACTATGCGAATAATTTATTTCAAGCATATTCGGTTTGTATACTAGACAGACAGACCGCATCACACCATAAAATAGAAAATAATATTTGTACAAGATCAAGCTAGATGTGGCTGTGAACGTGGGAGACGGTAATCAATAAACCGACTATAATTTACGGACAGTAATTCGTATGATAATAATCCATAGGTCAAAATAAAGCTTATAATAAAATGAATATAGATATACGCAATCTAATTACTCAATAGTTAAACAATAAGAATAGATATAGAATAATCGTCCACTAATATGTCCCGGAAGTCACTCGTACTTATATCTTCGCCAGGATATAGCAGTCTGTTCCTTCTGCACTGCACTCTTGATTTGTCTGATGACCATGCTGATTTCTCCGATTGTTGATCTGGTGACTTCTATAGGAATGTCTGTAGGCGCTGTTTCGAAACCTCGTGGGTTCAGTGGGGCTGCTTAATCCCAGAGTTATTCATGGTGTTCCACCGACCTGTTCCGATGTTCTTGAATCTCAGTGATTGGCTTGCCTTTTTTGTTCTTGACTGGTCGCCGTGGTTTACAATATTTCTTAGCTAGTTTCTTCGTTGTGCCATATAGGTGTCTCATATTTCCTCCCCTTACAGCTTTTTCCACCGTCATTGCTAGGTCTTCCATGTGCATCTGTTTGTCAGCTCTAATGCCCCTCTTCACTCTCTTGTCCGCTTCTGTGCATTCGGTCTGTGCCTTGACTCTCTCGTTCGACTGTCGTCAATTGTTATCTATATATTCTTCCTTTCTTGAATCTCGTCTAGCGTAGCGATAGAAATCCATTATTTATGACAGTCCTTCTAGAGGCTCAGAACTTTTTGACATGTTGAAGTTAGTGCTTCTTTGGTCCCTTTTCTACTTATCCCCCATAAAAGTTCCCTCTCCTTCGAGTAGATCTTGTCAGGCTTGGGACCTTTTATGGAGAGCTATCTTGAATCCATCGAGTTTGTCAGTATCTCTAAGGAAGGCTATCTGAAACCTTGGTAATGCTGTTTCTGCATTTGTCACCACTAGGTGGCGATCTGAAGCTGTGTTGGCACCTCTCTTTGTTCTCATGTCTTCCATTGACCTTCTGAATTATTTAGTGATACAGATATGATAGATCTGGCTCTCTGTAGTGCGATTCAATGAGACTCACTTAGGTTTGTGTATGCGTTTGTGTGGTAATATAGTATCATCTATAACCATGGTATTGAAGGCACATAAGTTTGTGAATCTCTCAACATTCTCGTTTCTTTCTTCCAGTCCATGTCGTCCCATGATATCTTCATACTCAGTGTTATCCATTCCGACTTTGGCGTTTGAGTCTATCAGGATATCAGGTCGTTTATTGAGCACTTCTCTATGATTGATTGCAGCCTCTCGTAAAACTGATCCTTATTGTCGTCGTTGCTATCATTGGTGGGTGCTCAACATTGGATAACATTCATTGTGATCCCTTCCTTCTTTGTTTTGAATGATGCTTTGATGCTTCTGGATGTATGAGATTCCCATCCTCCAAGTGCGTTTCGTGCTTCTCTGGTTAGCACCAGAGCAACTCCTTGAGTGTGTGGAGCATTTTCGCCTTCGTGACAGGAGTACAGAAGCATCTCTCTAGAATCTAGCTTTTGCTGTCCAGCTTGGGTTCAATGGGTTTCACTGATTCCAAGAACCATCAATTTGTATCCCCTCATTTCTGCAGCTATTTAACTAGTCCTCTTAGTTTCCCATATTGTCCGGACATTCCATGTACCTATATTAATTGTTGCTCTGGCCGTTAGAAGGGGCATTGACCCATGACTTGCGAAGAATTTCGGCTTTCATCATGAGCCGTCATAATTCTTCTAAATGTAGATCCCTTAACTCCCAGGACAGATTTTGATTGTTTTTTTCTGGTTATTATATTTTTAGCAGGGTTTTTTTCTACGAGATGGTGTTGGTGACTCCATGCCTAACCCCGTCTTTTTATCCAGGCTTGAGACCATCAGTAACCCTAGAAGGGCTACAGGTGGGGTTAATAAGTACTACTCCTTGTGTATAATTATCGTTTATTGTGTTACTACGTCGACCTGCATATTAGTTTTTTCAATAAAAAAATGTTTGATTGTTTCTGTGCATGATTTTGATTTCGATACAGGTATCTAAAATGGGTTCTGAGATTTGCCTATCCGGTTTCATGGGATTGGACTTGCCGAAGAGGAAATTATGGATATTAGGAGATATATTCATAGGTAAATTTTATACAGTATTCGATATGGGCAAAAACCGTGTCGGTTTTGCGAAAGCTCTTCATCCAGATTCTGTTCATCGTACCAAAACATATATACCTATGATGCGATTATTCCCTGCTCAATCAGTTCCACAAGCTGCTTCAGAAACCCCGAATGGGGTGTTCGCCTTTTCCAAACTTCTTTCAGATGAAGTTTGAAAATGATTACCCTGTTTCGATTTCTACCGACATGATTCATTTATCTTTTTCAATTTAAAAAGAGTAATATTTATTCATCATTGTTGACAATTTATATTTTTATCTATTATGTGACTTTATCCTATTATTCGGTTTTTCATATCTCATCATTACCTTTTACACCTTTTTGTTAATCCCACAAAATTTTGTATTACATCTTATCTGAATTTATTTGTGTTCAATCACAAAAGTAAAAGTAACTTGTTAAGTTGCATTTCGTTAAACTTGAAGTAATCAAAGTGTCCAGTTTCTTTAAGCAACTTCCCATCCTAACTTCAGTCATATTGTAACATGGCTTAGAATAGAGTTTCAGGCAGCTTGTACTTAATACTCTTACAGCGAGTTTTGTATCTGTAACTCAGACCTAGGCATAGTCCGTCAGATGAACACTGTATAGTTCCGTTAGCCTCTATGCAAAAATAGTGTAGCTTAAATCTGTATGTGAACCCGTGCTTTGGTACTGAGTCAAGTTACTTCTGTTCAGTTGTTTGATTTTAAGGGTCTATAACGACATAATTTTCGACAATGGCGCTCTCATTATCTTTTCTGATAAAGTTTTCAGTGTTCGAATCTCTGCACAAATGATTAACACGTTGTTCTGTTGACCTTGGATTTGGTTGGACAAGGACGACAGAATGTTTCCTTTTGAAATACTTGTGACGTAGAGTGGTAACTAATTGGTCAGTGATTACGGTATCGCCTTACACCAGAGATTACGAGTGAATTTACATCACTACTATGAATTCGGATTGTGTTATCTAAGGTTTGGAGATATTACTCAATATACTTGCAGTTGTTCTGACGACTTAAATCAACGATCTCAATAGGTACGGCTTGTTAAGTGAACAGAACTTCGACCTTTGCTTTACAACGGAAAGCAAACTAAAGACCCATTCCTCAACCTTTGTAAGCTAGTTTACACGACTTGGTTTTGAGAATTGGTGAAAGTCAGTCGAGTGACTATTTTATCCGTTAACAGTACATTGTGGCTTCTAGAAGTTGAAATTCAACTTTGTTCAATGGTTTCTGTGCTAATACTTGGTAGTTGAGATTGTGGTGTATGTAATTTACAGGGTTATAATGTCAGCTGAGACAGTCTTTATATTGAATACAGTCGAATTTTGTCAAAATCTCAGGACTATTTCAAGTAGTATTAAATTCTCACAGAAAAAACAGTTGTTCTTTTTTGATGATTGTCCATGTTACAGTTGGCCACCTGAATTACAATGAGAGTATAAGTTTCATATGGAACATCAACAAATATATTTTCCTAACCTGATAAAAACAATAATATTTCTCATCAGCCAAACCGGTCTCATGAGCTTTTTGTGGGTGTACTGAGGGTCAACTACCAGTCATTCTGCTTTAAGAGAGTTTTATCGGCTGCCACCTTGTACTGCTGACTTGTACGTTTTGATTGATACGTAGTAGTTTCTAGATTTTCCTGGTTTCCTAAATCCGGTTTTGTTCTAAGTTACTGTTTCCGTTGCTGATGTTCCTCACTGTCACACAGTCTCTGAGACTGAAAACAATGAGAGAATTGACACCTACTAGCCCGAAGTAACCTAAAGTAACTCATTAGCTCGCTGTAACATTTTTAGCGATTGTTTCCGTTCATATATATATATATATATATTGTTAAACTGAATTTAACAATTGCTTATCTATACTGTTACATTGTATTTTATATAAATTGTAATCATAAATAATTCAGAATTCGAGAACATGTTCCGAAATATTTCAGTTTATTTCACGTTTCATAAGCAGTGAATCAATTGTGAATCATTTATAGGTAATAAATTTGTAATAATATTTAGCAATGTTGTGTGGTCATTGATTAAAATATATTCACTAGTTATTAGTACTTTTATGCAGTTCAAAAAATGTAGCAATTTCCCGTGTACAGTTTATCAATGTACTGCGGCAAAAAGTATGAATGACTATATTACTAGACTAGCAGCAGATGAAAATACTGAACGATATTTATGAAACAACTAAAACAAGACTCCCACCGAGTATTTACATTTTACTATTTCGTTGTTACTTTATCTCAAACATAATATTTGCGGTTATTTCCTTTTGGTTTCAAATTCTATTATGTTGTTTATTCAATTTAATTTTGTTTGCGAACGGACATCAGAAATTTTTGGTATCAGCACAAGAACTTTACCATTGAGTTGAAATTTCAGTAGTTAGCATTGTCGAACTTCAAGTAATCAACAGTGATCTATGATACTGTTCATTATTTTCGCAGCCAGGACCTCGTTGACTTCAGTAACCACTGGTCATCAATATAATGATTGGCCTGTAGATTTCAATTCGTCATTGGAAGAAAGTTAGGTCATATATGAAGAAAAAGGATGGCTACCCACATAGTACCAATGCGTATGGGGACTCTGTAACTTCAATTGATGAATTTCGGAAGATAATAATCATAAGATATGTATGATCCAGTGCATTAGCAGTTACATAAATTAAGTACTTTGGATTTCAAAAGATGTTAAATTTGCCAATCAGCGACAATAAATCGACGTACTTATGAACATTTTGAGATAATTATATTTTCTGACATCAATCTCGTATTGACTTTTGGTAGTTTCTGACTTTAAAGTAAGTAATAGATAATAATTTAGTGCGATTAACAGCAACACCTTTTAATAATCATAGTTGTATGACGATTTATAAAAATTGTAGTTCCTAGTGACAACAATAAACTTTGTTCACCAGGAGTAGCTCTTGTTTCTAAACGTACTTGATTATATGATGAGGATATGGGTTCGATAACCGTAGTGTTTACAGGTAGCCTTCCTCTTATTAACCTCTTAAACAGAAATATTCTCATCAGAAAATTACTCAAAGCAAAATCTTACGGTTGGTAGAGCACAAATGAAAACAATTATAAAATTCCAACATATATTTACTTAGAATTACTGAATAACTCATTTTTTTCTCTAGAAATGTAGTCTATTAAAAGAAAAATGAACAAAACAGGAAACTGTGAGTTTTTATACTAGTTTCCAAAAAATAGATTACATCCTTCAAGACGTGTGGTTAACTGATTCAAAGATATAGATTGTGATGGTGAATCACTTGGTTTAATTCTAAACAACCATTCTAAACTTGATTCGATATCAATTGATAGTGTGTACTGTTGCTGTTGCGTTGTGATAGGTCTCCCACTTTTTGGTCTTACATTTAGTGTGACAGCAGTGGATGGAGCTATGCGTTCGATTGTATGCCTCACTTGAGCTAGTGTTACATTACTGGATTGTACTCCATCTGATCTGTTTGTTTTTTCCATCAAATGAAAAAATCATGAATTGATAAATAATCATTTATAATAAATTTGAAAACGGTTAAAATATTGTGTATGAAAATTATTTCGCTTTCCATCATATATTGTGAATGTAATTTCGAAAGTCCTTGTCATTTTCAAAAGAAGTCGCAACTGCTTAGTCCGAATTACGAACTATATCAAATTTCAAAAGACCTATCTGAACACAGATAAATGTCAAATCTGCAGGTCTGACACTGCTTATCTTCAAGCTGAAAACTAAATACCTAGTAAATAATATTATTGTTGACAGATTTTCCAGTAATCAATTCACACTGATATTGGATATAACTTACTGATTGTTTACGTGTGTGAGATCACAATTTTCAGTAAGTGGCTCCATGTTGTTCGAGATAGCTTTATCCCCCAGAACAGTTAAGGTAGCTTTTTATTTTGTTAGTTAGACTTGGAGGATTATATATAAAGTCTTCTCCTCCTAGATTCTTCAGCTTTACAGATCCCTATGTTTTGTGACATTCAGAGGTTTCTCTTTCTTATGGTTTGTTAATGTTTTAGCAACTCTTTCTGCCAAGTATAATGTAAATTTACTGCTGTGTAGTGATTATAAACTTATTTATTCTTCTTTAACATTGAAAACAAATATTCACACAATTTACGTACATAGATTCATACATTTACTTTTCACTTGACTCCTTTATAAAAGAATACCAGTTAGTTATAGTCATGTATTACAGAAGCATATCAATTTATATCGTTTGATATTTAACATAAAAATGGAATCCTATCTATTCTGAATAATATGCATTTCATGGTAAGGATGATATTTCTGGTGAGAATTTCGGCGTCAATGCATTCAGTAGTATCCTATACATCTTTTGTAGACCTAAGTTTCTAATTTTCGTGTATGGATTCATATTATTCTACATGGTTTCCATTCGGTGGGCTTTTCCATTAATTTTCTGATTTGTTGACTGCTCATTTTGGCATGGCTCTTCAGCTGATGTAATTTTGTGATGAAACTCAACTTTACACTGAATTATTTCTACAGGATGCCCATTGGCATAGAAATAATTAGTAGTAAATATAGTTTTTGTATATGCCAATTTATAGAAAAATTGTTTTTCAGAGTATTTACTCTGAAGAAGTGGCTTACATTTAGTCACGAAACGTCAGAAATACAATTATTCTTTTCATTTGGATACAAAAAAGATCACATTTGTTGTAAATTTCTACCCAATGCTCAATTTATTTGAAACCATCAAGTCTCATCTTGGCATTGATGCCTACAAACTCATTGATAAGAATAGTTGTTAGGACATAATATTCTTGCAGTCACATTGTACTTCTTTTCAGGATAACGTGAAATAGTTCAATAGAACCATCGAATCAAACATTACATGATCAGACAAGCAATATGAAGAAAACTATAGCTACGAAAATTTCGTTAAACTTGTAAATCTGACAGTCATCATCTACAAAGAAATCATTAGTTCACTCAAACACCATAACCGCCACCGCTCAAATCGAAATATATATATATATATATTGGAATAAAAGATTGGAATAAAAGATTGGAATAAAAGAAACAGTTATTATTATTGTAAAAAATTGTACCAGTTATTGTTTTACTGTACTTGTTTAACTGTATCAAAGCCACTTCTTGTTCCGCTATCCGCCTTGTTTAATTCGAACTCCTTACGCTCTGCCCATTTTGCCTGTACTCGTTGGCATGTCTCGGTATTCTTTCGATACCACGAGATCGCCAATAAATATACTTGATCTGGACTAATTAAAGCCTTCTGATTTACGAGTCATCGTTTCTGGGTGCGTAATCAAATAGTAGTGGTGATCATAGTCCGTCCTCGACTCGACGCCTACTACAAGTTCATCATGTGTTTGTTCGACTATATATTGAATGTAAACTTTGTGTGATCTTGAATGTTCCAATTAGTGTCAGAATTAACAACCGACATTGGTTCTTTGATGTGTATTTAATCAACATGTTGGTTGGGTGTACTTAAATCATTAATATCTAGAATTTGCACCATTGATTTCCCGACATTGTTCACCGCAATCGCCGTTGTTGGTCGAAGATTACTTCCACGATAATATATGATTTCTGCAGACTCCAAACAACTTCATATTCGAACGAAGAACCCTACCTTCTAATAACTTTTAAAGATCCTATTTCGTTACAGAATGTTTAGCATTTCTACATTGCAGTGGAACTATATCTACTTACCTCTACAGTTCACTAAATGGTGAAGCAGCAATAGAATCAACAGTAGTCTTCGACGTCTTAAAATTTTGTGCCTGATCGTTAGAATAAGGATGCCTGGAAGCAATAATCAGATTTCTGCACTCTATGGCATTCAACCAAGGAGTGACCGCATTTGAAGCAAAATAAGAGCCATTATCAATCACTAACAACATAGGAACCCCTTCTCGACAAAACACCTTTCCTAATACCTGAGTTGTGAAGTCAGATTTTGGTGATGTGAAAAAAACAGCAGACCATTTTGGAAAAGGTCAGTGGCTATAAATGCATATTATTTGCCGAGAAACAGTCTGCACAAATTCTCTGCCAGGCCTCAAACTACACCTACCTTTCTGCTCCAAAACTTCACCAATCTCCACGGGTAATGCATCAGTAACAAGCAAAGAATTTACGCTAGGTGAGTAGGTTCGAAGGACAGCATCGTACGCATGAACCTCGTTATTCACCTTATTTAAATGAATTATATCGCAAGATTTGAAATAAAAAATGTTCATGACAAGAAAAATTAGAAACATGACAAAAATATTGCTGAAGGGCAGCTACCAGAGAATGTAGTTATGTAAGAATTTTCGGAGATGGTGAACTCATCAGTGTAGCTAGTCGTTTCACATATGGTCTAAAACCATTATCATCAACTACGTACCCAAGACACTCAAAACTAGATTCAAAAAACGAAAACACATTCGGATTCACTGTAATGTTCTTCTCAATTAAACAGTGCAATAAAGAAAGTCTCTGATTATGAACTGCTTTATCAGAACCATGAACAATGAGATCATCTTGATAATTTTCAACACTTTCAAGATCACTGACTACCATATTGATAACTTCCTGAAAAATGGCGAGAGAAAGGCTTGGACCAAATGGGAGGAATTTGTATTGGAACAGGCCAAATGGAGTGTTAATTGTCGTCAAAATATGTAAAGATTGATCTAAAGGAATTTGAAGATAAGCATCTTGTAAGCCAACTTTCGACAACACCTTAGAACCATGAAGTCGATTCAGAATATATTCAGCCTCTACCGTCGTGCATGTGTGTTTCAAAAAACGGGGGTGTAATGTTCATCTATAGTCATCTATAGTCTTCCCATCCGACGTAATAATTGGAGTACCCCATGCTGAAGACTAAATCCAATCAAGTATGCCTTTCGCACACAAACCGTTCAACGTCTTATGTACTATTTCTCGGAGACCATATAGAATTACTCATCTTTTAAGGAAGACCGGATCATCATGTGCTTGGGGTTTTATAGGTTGAATTTTCATACCTTCATTGTACTTGGCACACACAGCTATTAAATCTTTTGGTAAAGCATCAGAATTTTCTTTGGGAACTATTAAAGCCAACTACACTTTAAGCCTTTTCAAAATTTTCAAACCCACTATTGACCGTCATCTTTCACCAACTGAAATCTCACAAGGCAAGTAGAAGAAGTTATCATTTCTTAATGGCAATTCACAGCATCTCCGTATTGGCAGTTTATGTCCAGCAAAAACCAACAGTAGAACTTCAGTGGGTCGTACGACAACGTTAGAATCTAAGGATTTCATGTTCTTGAAATGACGGACTCTATACTGCCTGTGTCAACAATAAAGTCATGGAATGAACCAAGATATATATATATATATATATATATATATATATATATTCGTTTTTGAATATGAACGCTACCTTTCAAAATGGTGAATAGAGATAAACGATCATTAGGAACGCCCGAATTGATGGGATCTAAATGACGAGATTTAGTACCACTCGAAGCAAAATGAATGATAATTGTAAGATCCATTTTGAACGTTTCGTATGTGAAAATCCCTCCATGCATACATTCATAGCTTCTTAATTTTTTCTTTATTTGTACATTATTGTTAGTATTTTGATGCCATTTTTGTTTGTGGTGTTTCTGTGGAGATAGGACCATAAAACCTATTTTGTAAATAATTTTTCATAGTTTATACATGTATTTTCATATTCTGTACATTTAGCGTTAAACAATTGTATTTGTTGTTTAAGTGTATTACTTTGAACTCTAGTAACTTGACTTCCTTCCGTTAATCACACACAAATAAAAAATAAGGGACGTTACTTAAGTCTTCAGGCTATTGCGTGTTCGGCTGAGTTTGGTCCAAATAATCCAAAATTATAAAAGATTAGTAATCCCAATATGGACGATACAGATCCAGTAGGTTTACCCAGCGTATAATTCAATAAGAATGTCACAATTGTCTATAAACGTAGATGGTATGCAATTAATATTTCATTTAACATATTAGCAGATATAGCAGAACGATGCAGATGTGATTTAGAGTGTATTTAATGAGGAGCAGTAACAGTGCCACGATATGTTGTACTGAAAACGGAAGGAAGTCAAGTCACTAGAGTTCAAAGTAATACACTTAAACAACAAGTACAATTGTTTAATGCTAAATGTACAGAATATGAAAATACATGTGTAAACTATGAAAAATTATTTACAAAATAGGTTTTATGGTCCTATCTCCACATTTCGTTTCATAATAGTTTTCTCAGTTTTTTTCTGTTGCTTTCATTGGGTTTCTATATTTTTTCTTGAACTGTATCAAATTTGTTTTAATTGATATTATTCTGGCGGCTGCCATATTGACTGTTTGCTCTTTGTGCTACTTGACTTGACTGGGATCGCGCATTTTGGTTGTAAATTGGAGTACTTTCCCAGAATTTAAACACTTTGTGTTATAGAACAGCCTCTCAAACGGAATTTTACTTGATCTATCCAGAAAGGATAGAATAACACTTACTTTTTGGTGTGTTCGGTAAATTTCTTATGTTTCTTATCAATTTGCTATTTATTGTAATTTAGATTGATTATTCTGTGAACAATTGTTGGTTGAATAACTGTGTGGTAATATTTGTTTAGGTAAATTTGTATGTTTCTATATATGATGAATTTTAGAACCGTTGTTACCCAATCACTTTGTTCGGATTTTGATTACTGTGCTTTGCGTGTCTTTAATTCCAGAATCAGTTGTTCAACAGCCAAACCTAGTTGGATCTTACAATAATTTTGCATACTGACTGATTGTGTCCTATCTTATCACATTTAAATCATTGCGCATTTCGAAATGTGCACGAATTACGAGAATGAAATTTGCTACAAGATAAACATTCACCAAACATAAGGCCACATTTTTGGTCTGCTTTGCAATTCCTTGTTGAAAGACTTTTCATATTTTCACTAGGATATGAATCGCTATTAAGCGAATTCAAAGTTCGTTGACCGTGAGATTGTATTTCATCAGGACTACCAAACAAAGGTTTAGAAATCTTCACTGACTGGAAAGCTAGTTCATTCACAGCTAAACAGTTGACACATAAAGTTCTAGCATATTTAAAGGAACAGTTCGGCATTTTTAACAGCTCTCTTTGCAGACCTGGTATGTTAAAACCCGCAATTATTCGATCCCTCAGCTGCACATGAAGTTGATGACTAAAATAGCATTTGTCAGTTTGTTTTCGCAATTTAAGGATGAATTCCCTAATCTTCTGATTATTCTGACGAACCATTTTGTGAATCTTTTATCTCTCACGACATTCGAAACTGGTGCACTTTACATGATTTAATAGCAGTTCCTTAAAAGTTTGTGATGGATTCCAGAAAAAGAGCTTGTGCAAGATATAACAATACTCAAAGTTACCAGTACTATACCAAAAAACTTAACACTACAGGCCTAAGTGTCTGTCTATGAGTAACGCAAATGGTAACAAATCAGTTACAATTTAAACGCTGTATTAAATAACAAAGTGATAACAGTTGTAATGAAACGAACGTTACTTGTAAGCTGCTCTCTGAGATAACAACCACAAATGAGTTCATTTGATTAACAAAGGTCGCTCTACATGTGGTAGCACCAACGATATAATAAGAAGAATTAAATTCAGTAGTATTATTTAACAATGGTTCGGATCAAAACTCCAACGTAGTGTGGGAAGGCCTACAAGGATGTTATAACATTCTTGTAATCTTCAATCGAAGGTCGTGGCCAACAAAGCAGCAGCATAGACGGCAGAGATAACGTTTATATTTCAATAGTCGCCGTAGTTTGTGTGTAAAATTATAACCTACT